GGGGGGGGGTAATTACTATTTCATCTGGGCGCTACCTGCGGGTAGCAGGCCACGCTGGGTAACACGGAGTGATGAGGGTCAATGAGGAGACACCACCCCAGGGCGTTTGTGGCCGCCTGCGCGATGTGAGGACGCGTCCGAGAGTTAGAGTTGTGGCGTGTGTGAGCGATGCGCCTCGCTCCCACCTGCGGGCGGGACCTGCGCGCCAATGCCGTGAGAGAGACGGACGGTTGGTGTGTGGTGTGGTGTGGCATCTCACACCTTGGCCGTCATCCCGCCGACCTTGGCAGGGATGCCTTTTGCCTGCCGGGCGCCTGGCTCTGGCTGGCCGCGAGACGGACCGCGATCTTTTGCGCCGCCCAATTTGGTAAGGCGGGCGAGGTCATCGCCGCACCGCGGGCAGCTGGGCAGGGCGGGGCAGCGCTCGGGCTCAGGTATGGGTAACGCCGGGTAATGTCTCATTTACCCGCGGTGGCGCCGCACCGCGTGGCGAGACTATAACGCCGGCGCCACGCCGTGGGGGGAGGCCGTGGAAGCGGCGGAGGCCGTGGCGTGCGGCTCGTTTATATTTTTAAACCTCGGCCGCTACCGCGTGGCGGGCTGCCTGCCTGTCGGCCGCGCTGACCCCGCGTGTACTGTACGGCGACGATCAACTTTCTCGCTGATGCATGAATGCACCCGGGTGCGATGCCCTCCACGGCCAGTGGCCGGCACGGCGTGGAGCACCGCGGCGCACACTAAACTCCTGGCGGGGCGTGGCGCGGCGGCGGGGCAGGACGAGCCTGCAGGGGCGTGTCCAGGGGTGTGCCCCCCTGCGGGGAAAGGGGGGGGGGCTGGACGGACCGTTCATTTCACACATGACGGCGTCGATATTCATCGCATATCGTTGGGCGCCGCCGCGAGGAAAAAGCGGTAGGCAGATCATCGGCGCGCGAACAAAGGAAAAGTGGGGGGGAAAGGAAAACATTTCGGTCGGTCGCGGTAGTTGAACCCGCGCCTCGCAGAGATGAAAGTAATTTGCGTCAGCCGATCATCTGTGTCAACCGTATAGGTGCCATACACAAGGGGGGGGGGGGGCGTCTGAAAATGTGATGCACGTACAGAATGCTGTCTCTGGCCCTTCACACTTTTTCGTTGAGTCTGCTGCTCCGCGCGCGGGCGGGACAAACGAGATGCAGGAGATGCCGCGCGGTAAATGTCGGGGTTGAAGTGTCTGTAAGCGATCAGAGATGGGACGAGGAGGATGGGGACGACCCGGGACACGACGGCCGCGGGGAAGGAGGCTCCCGGGGCCGAGCGGTGCATCTCGCCGTTAATCTCCACGAAAGGCATGAGCGCGGCCGAGCACAGGGAGTCCAGGCGGGCAGACAAATTAATAAAGATGAGTGTCCGTAGCGGCGTATGTGGTGATTACAAGGAGGAGCAGCGGTCTGATCAAACAACCAGAGAGTGGGATGAGGGGGGGGGCTCCTGGACCACCGGGGCGAGGTCGTAGGACAGCGACACGGCAGCGGGGGGTTATTCGAATGAGGACCGCCGGGCCCGCCCGGTGTAGGGTTACGGGAAGGTATGTCTGTATGAAGGAGATGCCGGGGAGAAGAAAACGAGGGTGTGGAACAGTTGACGACAGTGTTTTAACAACATAAAGAGCCGGGGGACCAAGGGGTTTCCTCCATATGGTTAGAGGAAAAATGATAATGAAATCTTTCCCAAGTGGCGCGAAAAGGGCTAGGGAGGAGGAAGAAAGAACTGCTCGTGAGGAGGGCGTTATCTAAAAATTTGAGAGTGGAGCATGTAGCATGCCCGAGTCATTACGTACTTCCGCTGATGGAGTGGACACAAACAAAATCCTTCAGCTGAAGTCAAATCAGTTAATTTCCTTACCTCGGGCGTCAGAAGAATGAGTATTACACGTGCCCGTTAGCCCGTATTAGATTAGATACCACAATAAGTGCGTGAGTACCAGGGAAGTAATATGCACCCTGGCAGGGACGGGTGCACGCGGTTGCGGGCGGTACAGTAGCAGCCCGGCCCGTCCCATACCGTCACTCACTGCCCGATCTGATCGCTCGCTGGTGCGGCTCTGCGGTGGGCTCAGGCCTGCGGGCGGGGCGGGGCGGGGCTGGGCGGGCCACGGTAGCCGACGTACATAATTACACATGACTGAATACAATTTCGGTCGGTCGGTCGGATCCGTGTTGGATCCCACTGCAGCCCCCCGCCGCCGCCGCCGTGCCGTTCCCACCAGCAGCACAGCCTCCCCGCGGTGTCGCCGCCGTGCCGCCGCCGCGGCTCACTCCATATTGCACCCGCCGCTGTAATTCCCTCTCGCTGTTCGCATGCGGCCGTTACCGCTGGCGTCATAATCCCCTTTCTATCGTAATATGCAGATTCGGGGGAGGCGCCGGCTGCATCCCAAGTGGCCATTGTATGACTTGGTATTTGCGCTGCCTGGGCCGCGGCTCGCCGGGCGGCGCCGTGACGCCCGCGGGAGGGGACTGATATAGGCCCCCGCGGTGGGGACTGTTCGCGAGGCCCCTTGGGGCGGGGACTGATGGGCCGCCGGCGCCGCAGCTTCCCAAGCCTTGACTCGCGCGAGTCGCCGCGGCGGCGGCGCGATATGACGGCTTGTTTCGACACCTTGACTTGCCGGGCGCGCGGAATGGGATCAGTCAATCGGGTCGTTTATCATCCTATTCAAAAAGTCATTGACGCGTGCCCGACCCGTGACCTTTCCATCCATCTATAAATAAAAACGAATAAAATGATCATTGAAAACTGAAAAGCACAGCGGGCTGCTCGTTTGCTTCTATTGACGGTATCTAGCATTGCTATGGCCATCTCGGTGCGCTATTCTGGACGGCCGCCAACATCAATGAGGACATGCGAGATTTGTCTCTCGGTGCCATCCGTACCCCGTCCAGTTCAAGTCGATGCGTCATCGGGACGATAAGGACGCCGGGCCGGCTGACGGGAGAGCGGCCGATAAGGGCGAGGAAAAAAAAAGCGGTTTCTAGAGCACAACCAGGTGAATCACGTTTGCATTGCGAGAACCGCCAGTTCGAGACGGTTCTATAGAGGCTCGCATTTTTTTTGTTGCCGGGCCGTGATTTTGTCAGGCGGTCCGTAACTTTCTGATACGCCCACTCTCGTTAGCCCTGCTCGCGGTATGATCTAACGCAGTGTACGCTCTGTACGCCTTTCTGACCCGAGGTTCAAGGCAGCGTGCGGGTGTGGCCGGCAAGGGAAGCAGGAGAAGGGACACAGCTATGCAGCACCCCCCCCTCCCTTCCCCGTTTCCCCGTCACCCGCCACGCCTTACTGCCGCCTCCCACGAGCGCGCGAGACCTCGCCCGTCTTTTGGCGCGACGTGTTGTCGATTTACGGACCTCCTGTAACATGCATATGCTGACAGTAAAACATCTGTTTACGACGCGAGCTAAACGGGCGGGGCGGGGCGCGGAGGTTTGGGGCGCGGAGCCCTAAAGCTCGCTCGCGCGCTCGCCGTCCGACGAAATGGGGCAAAAACGGACGGCAGAGAGCCCGCGGATTATCGGTCCCCATAACCTTGACTCGGGCTCCGCGGCTGGCGTGCTTGCTCTGCTCCAAGGCGCCGAGCTGTCCGGCCGCTCGCGCGGAGGCTGCGCCAGGCTTCGCCAGGCTGCGGGCACGCGCGAGCACGTATCATTATTGGGAGCCAAATGACAGCCTGCTGAGCCTGCTACACTACCGCACCGCTACGCTGTGACTCACCGCCGGTAATTGACAGCGCCTGCAAACGACGCGCAGGTCGACTGATCAAGAGAGCAAACGCCGGGTCTGCTGAGCTGTTCGGCCACTTCGCGATACGTGTGTGAGTGTGTGGGTGAGCGAGAGGGAGAGAGAGGGAGAGGGGAGGAAGAGCGAGCGAGAGAGAGAGAGAGAGATTGGGGGGGGGGGGTGATAGGCGTCTTCCGAACAATCACAGTAATATCCAGGACGTTTACGACCTGGTGTGGGCGGACGAGCAGCACCACCGTATACCGTGTGTGCCCATGTCCAACGTGGCGTGCGAGTCACTGACCTTGCCAATTTTCATGACCAGCCGTCGTAATGCCGCGTGGTATAAAGGTCGGTAAATAATACACGGGCCGATGCTGTGTCGTCCTCCACCAATCTCACCCATCGCACAGCAAAACGGATTGAATTAGTTGTTGAATAACTCACGTTTAAAACAGTGTCTCTCTTATTGCACGTGCCAAGAGTTGGTGTAAGCAGGGGGGTGACATCATGGACATGCTCGGTGTACACATCTGAAAGAGGTGCATGGTAAACTAAGCAAAGGTCATTAGAGGACAAACCAGGTCTAAATTAACATGATGATGGGCGATAGTAAATCTTAGAATTTTGTACGAGGGTTGAGACCGGGTTGAGACGGAGCTCTCTGTCTCTTTTCTGTGTGCTGTGCGGTGCCGTGGCTGGCAAACTTAATCTTTGCAAGCTTGACCTTAATCCAAGACATAGCCTCCTCAACGCCGGTGTCGGTTCCTGTGACGATGAGTTGACCTCTCCTGCTTTGAGATGTACCCAGCTATCGACGAACGATCTGCATCGACTCTTCTCATGCCGAACCTTGAGCTGCTGTCATATCATCTCGCCAGCCTTCGACGATTATTGTACGGAAAACACAGCAATTCTTGCTATGGCTGGATCGAACGATAAATCAACGGGCGACTCGTTGACCGTGTGATGCGGTCAGGAGGGCTAGTATACCTCGTGGTCCTTTACGATAAAATAGCTCCCTATCATACCCCTAATGGATGACCCATGTCAGCAGGCATCGTACTGTTTAATGACCTCATGTGCGACGGCAAGTTACCCATTCCTCGCCGTCACGTGATTTTATTGTTATGTCAGTTAATAAAAGCTTAAAAGTTACATTTCTAAAATGTGTAAAAATATTACAGATGTATTATTTAACAAGAATAAACCATATTAGTGAAATATTGTATCTAAAACCATAACGAATATTAGTCTAATGACACCCCCTTTCTCCCCTTCTATTGTCATCATGTTTCGTAATTCTTGTTCTAGACGAGGAGCAGAGGAAAGCTGAGGCGGAGTGGGAGGCAGAAGAAGAGAGTATAGCAGTGAAGGCGCTGATTACATACGAAGAGAACCTGAAGAAAGCCGAGGGGAAGAGCAAATGCGAGGAAAATAGGGCAGCTCTACATGGACCGAATGAAGTCAAAGGGAAGAAAATCGAGGAAGAGAAGAAAGCTATGGGTGGCCTGAAAAACGTCGAGGGGAGCCTGAAAAAAGCTGATGGGAAGAAATCCGGAGAGAGCAGGGGAGAAGAGCGGGAAGCTATGGATATCCTGATGAAAGACGATGGGAGGAAAACTGAAAAGAGGAAGGACGGGCAGGAGAGGGAAGCTATGGGAGGCTCCAAGAAAGTCGTTGGGAGGGAAACTGAGGAAGAGAAGGGGGATGAAGAAGTGAGGGAAGCTATAGTAGATCTAGGGATAGCCGATGGGAGGAAAACTGAAATGTGGGAAAACGAGGAAGAGAGGGCAGCTTTGGAGGAGCTGGAGAAAGCCGAGGAGGGAATGAGGGAAGCTCGGAGGGAGGCCGAGGAGCGGATGAGGAAAGCTCGGAAGGAAGCTGAGGAGGGGATGAGGGTAGCTGAGGAAGAGTTGAGGAAAGCTGTTAGGAGATTAAGAAAGTCCCAGGAATTTAAAATGAGCCAGGAGAACAGAGATATCGAAAACAAATCTGAGACGAATCTGAATCTGACGCGTGATGATGAAAAAGAAGAAGAGACGCAGAGGGAATCAGAGGAGATGAGAAGTACCATTAACCTTAATGAAACCTACCAGATTATTGAAGGGGAGCGGGTGCAGTGGAAACCTGTGAAGGAAAACAGATCGCAAACACCGAAAACATCCAGTGACTCAGCTGAAAGACGAAAGAGGCGGGCCGTCGAGGTGACCTCTCAGTCCGATGACACCTTTTCTGAACCCGTCCACGAAGAGAAAAGGGGAGCCGAGAATGATAAAAGTCTAGATTTAGACGAAACGTTCTTTTCGCCTGCTGAAAGACAAAAACACGCCGAGGAGCAGACAAATATATACTCACAGGAGACCGCTGTTAGTGTTGGTTCAGGCGAAACGTTCTTTTCGCCTGCTGAGATGCAGACGAGGGCCGATAAGAGAAGTGATAATTCGCAGGAGAGCGCTGTTAGTGTCAGTTCAGATGAAACGTACTTTTCGCCTGCTGAGAGGCCGACGAATGTCGGGAAGAGAAATATTTTTTCGCAGGAGACGACTGTTTGTTCAGAACCTGCTGAGAAGCTGAGAAAAGTCGACATAGACAGAAGTATTTTTTCGCAGGAGACGACTGTTTGTTCAGAACCTGCTGAGGAGCTGAGAAAAGTCGACATAGACAGAAGTATTTTTTCGCAGGAGACGACTGTTTGTTCAGAACCTGCTGAGGAGCTGATTAAAGTCGAGATAGACAGAAGTATTTATTCAGAAGAAACGGTTATTTATGACATGTCGGAGGAAGAGCAGGAGAAAGCCGACGGAGAGGGAACTATTTATTCAGACGAAACCTTCTGTGAGCCCTCCGAGGAAAAACAGAAAAAATCGGGGGAAAAGAGAACTATCTGTTCGAACAAAACTGTCGAACAGGAGCAGAGTTCAGTCCAAAGAGACCAGCCGAGTGCTTCAACTTCAACCTATCCTTCGAACAAAAACACAATGGGACCCGCCAAGCATGGACAGTGGGAAGTCCAAGAGAACCTGCCGATTGCTTTAACTTCGAAGTGTTATACGAACAAAACTGCCAAGAAGCACACCAACGAGAAGCAGTGGAAAAACAAAAGGGGTCAGCCGATTGCTTCAACTTCACCACGTCCTTTGAAAAAAATCATGAGACGCACCAAGGAGGGGCAGTGGACAGTCCAAGAGAACCTGCCGTGTGCTTCAACTTCAACATTTTCTTCCAACATAACCGTCAAGGGGCTCGCCAAGCAGGTGCAGAGGGCACTTCAAGGGGACCAGCTGAGTGATTCAACTTCAATTTCAACATGGGTGAGGTCAACGGTATGTTCAAATGTTGTTCAAGAGGACAAGAAAGCCAATACAGAGAAGATTGCTGTAAAAAGGACATCCCAAGAGAACTCCCCATTGTATGTTGATTTAGTTTAATTTAAAAATTAAATACAGTAGTGAGTGTCACTTCCACCTTTCTAATATACATTGCGTATTATTTTTTTTCTTCTAGACACGTGTGCAAGCTACCTCGATGTGAAGAGCACCAGCCTTTCTATGTATCAAGTGTAAGTAAATGAATTCTGATGATCATGATGTTGGCTGACATTTAGCATCTAATACTTATTTTCGTGAACTGATACATTCTCGTCCTCATTTTAGAAACGGGAACTCGGGTTATTGCCAGAACACACAAGGCACATGGCTAGAAGAGAAGGGTTGCGGTCACCACCAGGTAATGAAATGAATATCAATGTCCGAAATTCAAGAGTTGTTCCCCTACCCATTTGTTCTTTTCTTTCTTTAAAGGATTTTGGAGTCTAAACATGCCTAGCACTCAATTCATCAGGTCCAGAAATCAGAACGAGAATCAATAAGAGAAGCCATACGAAAATCGAGAAAAAAAAACAGTATCGGAGCAAAGACTAAATTTATGATCTGACTGCTGTTTTTGAATTTTTCCCCGACGACAAGAGCTGTTTAAATGGGGTTTCAGCGAGAGGAGAAATCTCCCTCGGTCTATCCCTACCAACAGAGATTGGTCACAAGTTATCAAAATGATGAAAATTCGCATCACTATGACGTATTTTTGGGCCTCAAAACATCATTTTCACATCACTAATACTTCAATCTGATGTTTTGTGACGAATCTCTGTTGGTAGGGTTTGTCGAGTCTGGTGAGCCACCTGGAGTGTTGGCAACAAGCTCTACGCCTGTCTGAACAGATCTTCAATAATACATCGGCCTTCCTCTTCATCAAATTTAAATAATGCATCCATATTACGTTGGTTGTTTGATACTTCCTAATTAATTATGTCAGTATAATTTAATTTTTATTTTTATATATTTTATATGTCTTATCTTTATTATTTTAATAATGTGATTATTTATCGATTTGACTCGGCGGTGCTTAGTTACAAAAAATTGTCCATGACATTTAGAGTGCAAACCCGCCCGTTCGCCTGCGTGCGGTAGCGGGTTGCGGTCGTTGCGATACAGTAAAACTACACAAGTGCGCGGGGTTAATTAGCCACCTAGTATGCATGTGATGACATACGCACATCATATCATTGTATCAGTGAAGTGAAGAACCATTAAAATGTTCGGTTTTACCAACATGTACGTAAGCGCAAGTATTGCAAAAAAATTATTGTTCTTCTTGATTGCCCCGCGATTTCCTCGTCACACAACTATCGGGCGGATCGCGTGCAAAAGCGTGCCGCATTAGCAGTCCCCTGTCATTACACCCGGTGGACTTTGCGCCGTCCGAGGTGACGAAGACACCGTTATCCGGCTATCCGAGGCCAGGGGCGCCACTTATCCATGAGTGAACAAGACACTGGAAGAAGACGGCGAAGGGATTGCCTCGGCAGGCCGCTGGAACTTTAACCGAAAGCCTTCTGACGCAGGGTGGGCCGAGGGCCTAATGTGAGACGCAGCGCCAGGCGGCTCCCCCAGTGTGTCCCTGTGGTAGTCTTGTGTGGTCCTCCTCTGTCGTTTTGTTTCATATCCGGGGCTGGCGTGTAAGGGGGGGGGGGGGCACCTGGTCCACCACTAATCGCCGTGTCGATTACCGCCCACCCTGCAGGACCAGCAGCATCCCCTGAGACTGCCCGGATGGCGTAAGAGACAACGCGGAGAAGGGCAGGGTCAGGGGTCAGGACCCCGCACCGGGACCGGGACGCGCAGGCACGCGGCTGTGCCTTCACTGTGAGACCGTGACCTTGAACCTGATTTTCTGACTGTGTTTTCAATTCCGGTTTGGCCGCTCGGACGAAATAAATCGTCGCCAGCAGAAAACCAATCTCTCCTTCGACTGCGGCCTTGGCCGAGCCGGACAAGCGCGGCGAAATGGCAGTAATTATACGATCAAGTCCGTCGAAAGCCTCTGCCGTGTGGAGTTGTCGTAGGTCTGGGTGGGCAGGACGCCGTCTTTTGGGCAGGGTACATTCCAGGGGCTTGCCTTGCCCCCCGGGCCGATAGGGGTGGCGGGGCCTTCGACTCGACAAGTCACGCTGATAGAACGCGTCACGCCTGATACACCGGGGAAAAAATGATCATATAACACGTTGTTTTTAAAAATAAATCCCAAGCACACCCGACAAACGACCGCACCCGTGTGTGGAAACGAAACACTTATTCTGACGTGTGGCCTGGCGATGACATGATACCCGCGCTCCCTGCGGCCACTGCGGCAGAAGCAGCAGCTCGGCAACCGCAGCTCGGACGAGAAGAACAATCGCATAAATCCGAGAATCGCCACTCGGCTCGGCCGGGCTGAGGTTACCTATTACGCGCCATATAATCCCGCTCGCGCTCCTGGTCTATTTCTTATTTCTCTCTTTGCGGAACTGCCCTAGTGTAAAAAGAGGCGTCCAGCGGCCGGTACTCTGTTGAAAATTACTTGTAATCCCCGTGGGCATGCAGTGGGATGGGAATTTGCAAAGAGGAGGGGGCGGGGGACATCTGGCTGCCCTTTCTCTTCTAGATGAAATTTTCGAGCCTGGTAAGTGTTAGTAAGACTGGACGCAGATTATATTTGTATGAGCGTTGCGTAGGCTGCAACCCTGTATTTTCGAAAAAGTTTCGATCCATTTGGAGAGTGTGGGCTACGGACCCTACGGACTGTGTACGGGGCTTGCCCGCGCGAGCCCTGCGTCTGAAAAACATTCCCTTTACCCGTCTCTCTCATCGAGAGGCCGCCCAAGAGATGCGCCGCTCTCGGACGCATCCGCTGAGCAGCCAGCCAGCAGCCACGTGAAATTACAGGGAGTGTCGAGCCAAGCGAAGCGCAACGTGCAACCAAGTGCAGAACGGACATATCTCTGCATGGGGGCTGCAGGAGAAAAAATACAATGAAATAAAGTGACATTAATTCAAATTATATTCAAATCAAAAGGTCTTAGAGCGTAACTTTTCCCCTCGCACGCGGTTTGTTTTTTATTTATTTTTTTGTGATGTGCTGTATTGTAGAGAATCATCAGTCATCAGAAAAAATAAAATAAAGTGACACTGTAGTCCTCTCCTCAGAAGAAAGGATGTGCCCCCTGCACTTTCGATTCGATCCCAACGGGGCCGGCTGGGAACAGGTGCAGCAGCGGGGAGGGTCTCTCGCGCAGCTGGCTGCAGCTGCATGCCTCCGCCTCAGGGTCAGGGGAATGCCTCTGCCTGACCTAGCCACGGCAGCGCGGGGCTCCCGCGGCGGCCTGCCGGGGATGTGCGGTGGCGACCCCGCGCGCGGGGAATCGTATATGTAAACGAGAAAATGAGTCCGAATGGTTAAGAGGACATGAAAGTTCGTGTGGTTCATTATTCAAACACTCG